CCGAGAAGGCCATCTCTGATCTCTCGTCCTGTTCTGAACCAGCCATGGAGGCTGATTGTGAACTGTCTGACCGTCTAGTCACAACTAATGAGTCTGATTTTGAACTGTCTGTCTGTGTAAATGCTGTCAATGAATCTGATTATGAACTGTCAGTCTATCCAGAATCAACCCAGGAATCTGTTTCTGAATTATCTTCCAGTCCAGTGTCCCTCAAGGGGACTGATGTTGAATCACCTGTCTGTTCTGATTCCATCAACAATTCTGATTTTAGGGGAAGTTGTGGCCTAATGGTTAGAGAGTCGGACTCATAACCCAAAGGTTGTGGGTTCGAGTCTCGTACCGGCAGGGATTGTAGGTGGGGGGAGTGAATGTACAGCGCTTTCTCCCACCTTCAATACCACGACTGAGGTGCCCTTGAGCAAGGCACCGAACCCCCAACTGCTCCCCGGGCGCCGCAGCATAAATGGCTGCCCACTGCTCCGGGTGTGTGTTCACGGTTTGTGTGTGTTCACTGCTGTGTGTGTGCACTTTGGATGGGTAAATGCAGAGCACTAATTCCGAGTATGGGTCACCATACTTGGCCACATGTCACTTTCACTTTCTATTTTCCTGCCCAGTATCGGTCCATGAATTGTTTGTCAGTTCATTTCCAGTCAATGCTTTTGCTTTTGAACCATCTGTTCACCCTATCTCTGCCGATACATCCAGTTTTGATTTGTCTACCTATCTGATTTCAGTTAACAAACCTGATTTTGAACTCTGTGTCAGTCCAGTTTCAGTCCGTAAGTCTAATGTTGAGCCATTTGTCTGTCCACTTTCAAGTAATGTGTTTGAAGTTTCTGGCAGTCCCATTGCAATCAATGAACCTGTTATCTGTCCCTTCAGTCCAGTCACGAGCCCAGAAACCTTAACTGAGCTCCCTGAAGTCTCAAGTAACCTTGTCACAGCCCAAAGATCCGCCTTTGACCTCTTAACTCTGTCTGTCATGAGCCCAGAAACTACAAAAACACTCCATGTCTGTCCCGTTACCCCTGTCATTTCCAAAGAGACCACTAATGAACTGTCTACCTATCCTGTTTCAGTCAAGAAGTCTAGTTTTGAGCCATATGTCTGTCCTGTTTCGACTGATTTGGAATGGTCTGCATGTCCAGTTTCAGTCAGTGAGTCTGTTTGTGAACTGTCTGCCTGTCCAGTTTCAGTCAATGAGCCAGATTTTGAACTGTCTACCCATTCAGTGGTCACCAGGGAGACTACTGATAAACTTCTTTTGTTCCCTGCCTTGGTCCTTGAGACCGCGAATGCACTGTCTGTTTCCTGTTTTTCAATTTTACCCAGGTCCCAGTTTCTGCTTGGGGTTCCTGCTCCGTCTGCTCTGGTCGGGTGGCCTTCTACTCCAGCCTGGTGGTTTTCGGTCCCGCTCTGGTGGTCTTCTGTTCCGTCTGCTCCAGCCTGGTGGTCTTCTATCCCGCTCTGGTGGTCTTCTGCTCTGTCTGCTCCAGCCTGGTGGTCTTCTGCTCCGTCTGCTCCAGCCTGGTGGCCTTCTGTCCTGCTCTGGTGGTCCTCTGCTCTGTCTGCTCTGCCCTGGCTTCCTGCTTTGCCGGTTCCGCCTGGGTGCCCTGCTCTGCCTGCTCTGAATCAGGGGTGCTATGTCATGAATCCTGTCCATGGACTTCCATCCACTTGCCACCAGAGGTCGCCCTCCCATTATATTGACTTTCACATTACACAGACTGTTGCATGTCACTCTGGACTGCATTTCTTATCATCCATTGCACTGATTGCCCACAGCTGCAACCAATCAACACACTTTATAAGCCATGGACTTCCTCTTTTTCACGGCCGAGTATTGTTTGCGCTTTTCGCCACATCAGTGATAGCAACGTTACGGAGCCTGGTCTAGTTTTCATAGTCTAGTCATTGTCATAGTCTTGCCTTGCCTGCTTTCCCATGTTCGGATTCTTGCCTGAGTATTTTGGATTACCCTTTCGTCTGGTTTTTTGGATTATGTTTGCACCTTGCCTGGACTATTGCTAGTGTTCCTCGGATTACCCCTCTTGTCAAGCCCTCTGGATTACGTTCGCCATCGATCGACCCACGCCTGTTTAACGGATTACTCTTGTGTCTTGCCTGTGCCATATCTGTTTGCTGGTGTTCGACCCTGCCTGTTTCTGACCATGTCTTCTAATAAAGCTTTGCAAATGGATCCACACGTCTCTAGTCTCGTTCGCCCCGTAACATAAACAAACTGCTCAATTCATTAATTTTGCAATGTGTTTGAACTTCGAAATGTGGTTGAGCAGACTTTCAATAGATGGATAAAAATTATGATAGCATTAAATCTTGATTTGTATTTAGAAGATGAACAAAAGTTTTATGGGTGTGGAACAATATGAGGGTAATGAATAAATGATAACAGAATTTTCAGGTAAACTTTAAATTGTATATATCTGCAGTATATGTCCTTAATGTCAGTAAAGAGAAAATTACTCACTGCTGTTGACTAAATACTGAAAAATACTGAATAAAAAATTTAAATATAATTAAAATAAAAGAATTGTTAAACATAAATAAATAAAATAAATAAATAAATAAATCATACAGTGAGGACTGTTTTTGGAGAAGTTTGTTGTGCTAAACACAACTAAACTGCAACTGTGTTGAAAGGATTGTAGTGTGCAGGGAGAATATGTTGTTTTATAAGTTGTTTAAGGAGGAGAAAGCACTTCTCTTTCTCTTATACTAAATGTAAAATCTCGCGCTACTATAAAGACAATTGTCATTTTCTCTTTACATCTTCACATGTTTGTTTGTAAAAATCTAGCAAAATAGTTTACTGTTGCACTTATCGTTCCAGAAAAGGCATCTGCTAAATGCCTAAAATTGTTAGAGAATTGTTTAATGTATTTTGGTTACACTTTATTTCGATAGTCCACTTTAGACATTCTACTAACTATAAGTAACTTTGTAACTACATGTCAACTAATTCTCATTAATTTGCAACTACATGTCTTCTAACTCTCAGAGTAGACTGTTAGGGTAGGTTTAGGGTTAGTAGAATAAGTTGACAAAGAAAGAGCATAGGCCAATTCACACCGCGCCAACAAACGGCAACAGACACGTTGCCGCTGGATTTAGAATTTTATGAAAAATAACTGTCATGTTCACACTGCCCCAACAGACACCAACAGACTTCAAGTCAGGGAGAGTTAACTAGGGGGAGAATGGATGATATTTTAACAACAATCAAAATGATACTGTTATTAATGTCTTTGGTAATATTGTAAGGCAGTTTTATAATAATAATAATATATTGTCAAATACATTTCCGTTGTGAAATTTCTCAAGTGCTGTAGCGATCGATGTGATCGCATTCCCCCTCACGTTGCGGTTGGTATACTCGGCCACACCCACCGCATAAATCTGGCCTCTCCTCCCAAAGATCCAAAAACTGTTCCTCTTTCTGGTTTGTCCAGAAACCTGCCATTTTTAAAGTTCTTTTCCTAAGCGCGCCCAGCACCTACTTGCAGTCTTGCCTCATTGTCATGGCAACGGTTCGTGGCCAGGTCAGATTACGTCAGAGTTTGTTGTCGTTTGTTGGAAAATCATATCACACTGCTCAGACATTTCATGACCCAACAAACGCAGATTAAACATGTTCAGTCGGGTTAAAGCCAACTCCGACCAACGCCAACAAACGCCGACAGACTAGTCTGTTGGCGTTTGTCGGTGCGGTGTGAATTGGCCTTAAGAAGATATTAAGCAGACAGTCTACTAATACTCTACTAACTGCTAGTTGACATGTAGTTGCAAAGTTACTTACTGTTAATAGAATGTCTAAAGTGGACTATCGAAATAAAGTGTTACCTGTATTTTTGTATTTTCAAATGATAAAATAACTTGTAGCCTATTTCAAATAGGCCTAAATTTCTTACACCAGTATTTTGTATTTTAATTTTTAGTATATTTTTTGATTGCATTTGTTCCCATTTCTGTGAATCCCTACAGGAGTAGTCATAAAGCAGTAGCTGTTTTGAGAAAGACTGACAGTCCTTTCTCAATCCTGTTCCTACCACTTCCTGTCTCTCCTCACGCTGTCCTGTCAAATTAAAGGCAAAATGTCCAAAAGTATAGCATCATAGAAGACTTGAATAGAATATCAATCTATTGGCTTAATAACATTTTCTTGGGTGCGTTAATACAAAAATTAGATAATGTTATCAAGAATAAAGTAAAATCATCTACAGGCATTCTGAATAATGTGTTGTGCAAAGAAATGACAAAACACAGTATTACATTTCCTTAAGCAATACATTTGTAATTTGTGGTTAAACTATAAAGACAAAAAAATGGTAAAATTTGATGTTGAAATCACAGAATGCAATTATGAATAAAAAAGATAAGTCATGTTTTTGGTTTTCGCCACTGATCACTGATAACTTAAGTTCCTGTCATGTGTGCTAGCGTAGGTTATGCTAAACTAAAAAGAGATATACAGATATAAACGTGCTCTATAACGCGTATGAAAACAATTACAGCTACTACTTTGTATTGACGCATGTTAAAGGGGCGTGTACTTATTTAAATTTCTGCAATATCCAAAATCGTGTACGCGCATTCACCGGCAGCTCTGAACATCACCAAAAGCGTGTGCGCGCAAAGAAGAAATAGCCTAACAGGACAACGGAGACGCGGTGGCTTGGAAAGGAAAGACAAATACCTAAACTGCGAAACGGATTGCCCTCCTGAATGAAACTCAGATGTTTTTGTCGACGGACACATACAGGTTATCATTACGACAATGCGCGACGCTTCTCGCTGATGTTCCAGATTTCGTTACATCTGCTCTCGCTCGTCTGCGGAAGATCCATCATTGAGATCTTGACAGCATTACAGCCAATGAGAGGTGCACCGGATATACTATTGATACCCAGACACACAGAGCAGCAATAATGTGTATTGTCGATTTTGTCATAGACATTTGTTTTGCAATGTAATTTCAGTAGTCTCGCCAGCTTTCTAGAACGGAGGTGGAAAGGAACAGAACGGGTATTTTTTCACCGAATGCATTATCATAACAAACCTCCCATCCATTATTTAATTGATTCATGATCAATTCTGGTGTGACAGAAAGACTGGCAAATCAAATCACGGACGGATACCTCTTTACTGCTTCAAATCAGATCAAATCTTTATTTATCTCCAGTCAGTGGACTCGCGGCAGAAGCGCATTTCTGAGGGTACCGGTGGGGTAGATAGGGGGAGATAGAGACGCCGGAAATAGCAGAAACAAATCACAGGAGAATAGACGGTTGGGAGCCAGCGAGAAAAAATGCTACCTTCGCAAGAAGCCTCAAAGATTTACCATGACAACTATATGCGTAACTCTCGAGCCATCGGTGTCCTGTGGGCCATCTTCACCATCTGCTTCGCCACCATCAACGTGGTAGTCTTCATCCAGCCTTACTGGATTGGGGACAGCGTGAGTACACCACATGCCGGTTACTTCGGGTTGTTCCATTACTGCGTGGGCGACGGTAACTCGAACCGGGAGCTGATTTGCCAGGGAACATTTTCCGACTTCAGTTCCATCCCGTCCGGCGCGTTTAAGGCGGCCTCTTTCTTCGTGCTGCTGTCCATGGTGCTCATTTTGAGCTGCATCGCCTGTATGGCGCTCTTCTTCTTCTGCAACACCGCCACCGTCTACAAAACCTGTGCTTGGATGCAGCTGCTTTGCGGTGAGTATTTTTTTTTTTATTCTGAAGGTTTTTGTGGGAAGTAGATACATCTAGAATACGCCATAATTTACCTTTAGTCACTTTCCAACAAAACGCATGTAAAAGATTAATGTAAGAACTGATGTCTGAATCTGATGCTTGTTTATTTGAATGGAGCTCATTGTGGGTGCGTGTGTTTTCAGGGGGTTCAGTAAAGCTGTTTGTCAGTGATCATGATGCCTTCATGTTGCCTTGTTAGCGCAGAGGAAAATGTTATTACATACATACATACGTAGGCCTACATACATACATACATTTATTTTTGAAATGCCTTTTGTGATGGAATATTACACAATGTACGGTAGGCCATTTCTCACTTTTTATACAGAACTAAACAGGTATGGTTCAAAATCAATAAAGCTATTTTGTGTTTTCTGTGCACTTAATGAATCTCTTTTTATGTTTGATTCCCATATCAATACAAATTCCCATATGACAGTGGTCTGTTTTCCTCTAGGACACAAGTAATCTACTATTAGCCTACTGTTTACTATTCCCTGGAATGGGGTAATTTAATTTAATTTAACTTTCTGGGAGGAAAAGTGTTTGCCTGTGCAAAACGGTTCATCATGATGTAGGTGGTTGCTAGGTATTGCTATGTGGTGTTACAGTATGTGTTATTTTTAAAAGTAAAAGAAGAAGAAATAACTGTGATATCTAGATGGAGAAAATCTTGAATGGATGCAAAAACAGCTGGGTGAACCTATCCTGTTGGAAGGCACATACATAAATATGTCTATATGCCAAATATTATTTAGTTACATAATGTTAAATACTAGTCAAGTATTATTTAACAAATTATTGAAATGATTTAGCATACTGGTTTTGATAATTTACTTTTATATTGATTAAATTGTACTATTTGGAGTTAGAGTTAAGCAGAAATTTAATACACATATTGAAAGTCCACATTTTGATAGCCTTAATTCATATTAATGTATTAATAATTATTATTTAGGTTTAGCAGGAGTGACATTTGATTTAGAATTTCAGTGACTGAAAGCCTTAAAGGGGTCAAATTATGCCATTTAAATTTTTCCTTTCTCTTTGGAGTGTTACAAGCTCTTGGTGCATAAAGAAGATCTGTAAAGTTGCAAAGACTAAAGTCTCAAATCCAAAGAGATATTCTTTATAAAAGTAAAGAGTCAACCACGCCTACCTGAAACGGCTCATTCTAACACCCCCCACATGTCTACGTCATGATGTGGGAAGATTTGCATAACGCCGCCCAAATGTTCACGCAAAGAAAGAAGGCGTAACTTTAATTCTTGCTGTTGCTGCCACTGCCATGTTGTGGAGTCGTTGTGTTGTTGTGAAAGCGTTGTGAAAGCGAAACTACTTTGTTTGCCTTCCAAACGAGGACACAACTAGAAATCAGTGGTTAAGTTGTATAATCGCATAAACAAATTGCATTGCACCAAATACACAAAATAATGTTCTTTTTAGCAACGTCATTTGACCCCTTTAATGATAACAGCATAGGCTACTACAATTTTACCAACATTAGCAGTGCTGCATATGAAGTTTACAACAAGGTTTTTTAGTGGTTATATGGATTATTGTGAACCCCGATGTTGGTTTTTTGACTGTAGTGTCTGTTTACTTTTACATGATGGAAAAGAATGGGTATGAGTTTCTTTCCATTATGTTTTTCTCCTCGTACACATTTTTTTCTCTCTTTTTGGGGACCATAATAGAATGCTAATTTGCATGGTGGCTTTGGCATATATAATTTGTTACAACAAATACAGCTGTGTAGTACACAACCATATGCACATTCACACAAAGTTAAACACTTACATCACCTAATCATTTTCCTGTTCCCACATTAGGTTGTAACCTTTTGTATGGCTTCTATACAATCTGTTATCTGTTAAATGCCATGCCTGCAGGGAGCTGTTGTTTCTCGTGCCTGCAGTGCTGTGAAAACATCTTTGTCCCCAATTTCTCAGTTTGTACACATATTTATTTGTGGATTGTGGTACTGTGTGGTAGTGTAGCTTTGATGGTTAAACTGACACAACTGTTTGATGCAGAATTATCCAGGAACTCTCTAGATCCCTAGAGCAACATCCAAAGATCAGGCCTCTCTTGCCTTGGCAAAGGTCAGTAAACATGACTCCATCAGAAATACATTAGGCTTAAGATGGGATTCATGGTGGAAACCATTGCTCACCAAGAAAAACACAAAAGCTTGTCTCATGTTGGCTAAGTAGCAGCTGGATGATCAAGAATTCTTGAACAATGTGAACAAATTGTGATCCATTCAATTCTAAATGGACAAAATAAAGTCCCACCCTATATTTTCCTAATTTCTCACATAATGACTCACAAATTTTTAATTGCTTAAATTCAGTGTTACATAAGATCAGGCCCTTTCTTTCAGAACATGCAACACAACACCTTGTTCAAGCTCTTGTTCTATCCAGGCTGGACTATTGCAATGCTCTCTTGGTAGGTCATTCTACTTTATCTATTTATGTTATTTTTTATTAAAAAAAACACAAGTTTTCTATTTTTTCTATTCTATGTACTTGTTTTTCTTTGTGTGTGTAAATAAAAAAAACTTGCTACGTGTACTGCATTAGGCTAACAGAGACTTGTCATTTGCACTTACATATTGTTGCTCTTTTGTTAGTTTTGATTGCTTCTATTGTCCTCATTTGTAAGTCGCTTTGGATAAAAGCGTCTGCTAAATTACTAAATGTAAATGTAATGCAAACATAAATATGGTTTCTAGCTCCTAATAATTCTGACAGAGACAATCCACAATGGATTGGGACTTTGCTACTGTTTCATAACATGCTTTTCTTGCAAAAAGATGGTAAACTGAATGTTGAATTTAACAGACACTTTTCAGTCAGTGTAATCTAAAAATCATTTTGGAGCTTTGAGGGCAGCACAGTTGGATTCTTTGTTTGTGGTCCCCCTATCGCTCCATCTTCAACTATGCTAATAAAAAAAAAAAAAACTAAAATTCATCAAAAATTTGCAATACCTCAGACACAGAAGAGCAATGCAAATTTTCTGGGATTTAAAAAAAAAAATGTTTAAATAACGCACAGTTACAAAATTACAAGAGAAACCCATTAGATAAAAGTTGCCCAGTTCCTGAACCTTCAAGGACACATTTATTGATGAGCAGGTTAAATATGGTTAGGGTTAGAGACTTTAGGGGGTGGGCTTTTGGGGCAGGGGTAAGGAGGTCCCAGTAAGGCAGCATCCATTAAATTAAATATAATGAGGCAAAAAGTTATAATAAATAAGTCAGGGTTTCAGCATCTTGGTCACCAAATAATATATATAACCATAAGTGGCAATTATCGAGGACCAAGCATGCTAGGTTTGGAAATTAATATTGTGTTCTTTAATGTGTATCCAGATATAATTCTGATAATCATTTTATGATATCAAAGATGTCCTCTTTCTGATACAATACTATAGTCTATCTATTGTGTGTTTAGACAGTTTTCATATTTTTGATATGCCTTTAAGATGGGCTTCCCCAGCTGACTTTGGCTCCTACCAAGGATTTTTTCCTAAACATGACCCTGGACCACAAAACCACGACCATATTTGTCCGAGATACAACTAATTGAAAATCTGGAATCTGAGGGTGCAACAAAATCTAAATATTGAGAAAATCGCCTTGAAATTTTTCCAAATGAAGTTCTTAGCAATGCATATTACTAATCAAAAATTAAGTTTTGATATATTTACAGTAGGAAATTTACAAAATATCTTCATGGAACATGATCTTTACTTAATGTCCTAATGATTTTTGGCGTAAAAGAAAAATCTATAATTTTGACCCATACAATGTATTTCTGGCTATTGCTACAAATATACCCCAGCGACTTAAGACTGGTTTTGTGGTCCAGGGTCACAAATACCTAAACATCTGAAGAAGTTTTTCGCTACACTGTTGCTTTTGCTCGCTGTTTGGTCACTGGGGCAACTTGAGATGTAACTTGAGAAATTCTTCATGAAACTGATAATGCTGAGTGAGAGCAGAGAGTGGGACTCCAGGAGTCTGGTCTAGGATGATTTGAGAAATAGTCCTGACTGTCAAATGGGTAGCCTGGAGTACTTCTGCATTACATTCTGTTATGTTGTCCTGGTTTTCATTTCTGTAAAGAAATTAAGTTGTATAATGTCATATATGCCCACTGCTTTGCAACTCAGGTGGTGTACATGGCAACTTTTGTTTTCTTTCTACCTTAACAAGTTTTTGGACCAATATGAGTTCTATATAGTCCTGAGTAAATGTATTAACATCAGATGTTTGTGCTTTACATAGTATGCATTCGTTAAATTACCTCATGCTTTTATCCTAAACAATAATCTGTGTTACTGTATGCCAGGCAGTGATATGCACATATGTACATTTTTAGACTGAATGGTTTTCTTTAAATCTGTACCTAACTCAGTCAGCAAAGTTTAAAACTCTTGTTGTAATGCAAAGTTATATTTTGTTTTCTTAAAACCACATAATGTGGTTAGCATCACTGGATCTCAAAATGTTTTTGTAGCTCTTAAAGGGGTCATATGATGTTGCTAAAAAGAACATTATTTTGTGTATTTGGTGTAATTAAATGTTTATGCGGTTTAAGGTTAAAAAAAACACATTATTTTCCACATATTGTACATTATTGTTTCTCCTCTATGCCCCGCCTTTCTGAAACGCGTCGATTTTTACAAAGCTCATCGGTCTGAAAAGCGAGATGTGCTGTGATTGGCCAGCTATCCAGTGCGTTGTGATTGGCCGAATACCTCAAGCGTGTGACAGAA